ATTCCATGTATGTACCCATTCAAAGATCAAAGTCCAAATACTTAATCAAAACCACTGATTTTGCAAATCCTCAGCCAATCTTGGACTAGACTCACAACCACCAAGTGCTGAAGAAAGCAAAGAGAAATGGAACCAGACCCTTACCAAATACATGGTGTAGCAAACATATTTTTTTTTTCCTAGTTAGCACTCAATACTGAACCCTGTTGCTCTTCAAATTATCCCTTTCACCTCAACTGGGAAAAGAAACAATCTAAGGCTAGAAATGGCTTGAATGGGGCAAAGAAGGGTGTTTATTTTCTAAATATCTCTCAGTCTAAGCATTCTTTGCATTTTTCCCTCTGTCATCTGGCCTCAAGAGGGAACAGATGCACAATGATGAGCCTACCTTTTTGCAGATGGTTCAAGTGTCGGGTACAGCTCAGCTCCCCGGGGTGGGCAGAGCATAGGTGTGATTTATGGAAGTGATTAGGAGTCTTCCTGGGCCTGCTTCCCTGCAGGACTAACTGGAGGCCAAATTGTCAAGGGGGAAAAGACTGGTCCCGGTTCCTTTGACCATCTTTTCCAATGCACCCTGACTCTCACCTGCTCAGAATCAAGGATGTCAAGTAGATTTTCTGGAACAAGTATGAACAGTGCAGAAAATCATCCCAGAATATGGAGAAGAGTTTGAAAGCCCATTGTATTTGCAAAGAAAAGACTTTGAAAAAAACTAAACTTGTAAACTTCAAAAGAACATCTTTCCGGTTTTCCCCTTATGAGATATTTATATAATAAATACACTTTGTACACACTTGCCTTAAAAAGCAGCCCCTCTGAAATGCATAGTGATTATCTCTGAGTGGTGGAATTCCAGGAGATTTTTCTTTTGCTTGACTCTACGGTCTGATTTTCCCACAATCAATGCAAATAACAATCTGGTTGGATGCTAAGTGGGCGTCAGGTTCTAAAGTCAGCATGTAACAAACAAAATCACGTCCAATAAAGTTGCTCTTGAAGAAAATTTCTCTATTAAGATATACATGTCTTTTTGTGTATCACAAAGTAGATGCATTGCCTTGCATGTAGAGGTCAGGATACATATATATATATATTTATATATTTATATATAATACACATCGTATACAGCACAATCCACTTAATGGCGCCATAAGTTGCCAAGCTTTATGGGAAGTAAGACCAACTGTGGGGACATTTGCCGTCTATTTTCCTCATTCTTACTGTGGAGCCTATATTCGCTGAGTGGAATGGCCCAAGCAAACACCTCCACTCTTCAAATTATTTTCTTTCTCCCTTTCTCCTGGACGTGGTGTGGGGGCTTGGCTTCAAGCTGGGTTGCAAGGCAAAGCATTTTGTTTTAACTTAGATCACATGCTACAGAGCAGTAAAATTGGCAATGTTTTCTAAGGATGAATTTATTCCCACTTTATGTAAAATTAGGAAAGCCTTAAAGTGTGGGGTGATAGGGATGGGGTGGATCTGGCATAAGGCCACGAGAGCGGCTGCCACGTTTGCTTGGCAGGGAGCCTGGAAGCTCTGGGCTTCTGCGGCAAAGGTCTTCCGTGAGTGTGAACCTGTTGCTTAGCTATGGGTCATTTTCCTATTTGGGGTCCTGCTCTGGTTATGTTGGGGTCTGGGGCAGGGGGAGAGATTAGTTGGAGGGATGGAATGGAAGCATTTTTATTCATCCCTCTCCCTCACTCTCTCATCCCCAAATAGGCACAAGTCCCCATAGACTGGCATGTCACGGGAGATGTCTGGGTTCCAGAAAGGGGGAGCATTCATCCACCACCCAACTTCTTGAGAACCTGTTTATATGCGAGGCCCTGGTGAGCGGTACTGGGTCACGTTCTATGCCCAAGGACCTTACAGACTACGGGAAAGGCCGACGTCGGCATTTATAAGTACAAACAGTAGCAAGTTCTCCAAAAGGAAAAGGCAGAATTCTATGAAACTCTATAACCAAGGCCCTAATTGGGGCCATTTTGGGGGGAGGGCTTTAAGAGAAGGGCTCTCCGTTCTGTTTAAGAGCTGTGGGAGGAGAAGGCGTTATGCAGAACAAATGTGGGAGAGTGCATTCCAGAGGGGAAGTAAAGCGTTTGTCTCACCTCCAGCCCGTGAGGCGCGCCCCCTCCCCAAGAGCAGAGGAAGCCCTTCTTAGCTAAAAATAAACTTGCTGAGCCTCTGGGGGAAATCCCACCACTGCCCAGAGAGAGGCCCCCCAGAGAGACAACTCTGTGGCTCTAACCCTCCGCCCCCACCCACAGGATGTGTGGGGCTGGTGGTCCTCAGACCGAGGCTCCGGCTCCGACCTTCCCAGCTAATTTTGCCTCCCCGGGAGCGTGTCTCCAGCACGGCCGGCTCCCAAGCTGGGCGCCCGCCAGTCAGTCTGGCCGGGGAGGGAACTATTTTGGGAATTTTTATGATGAAATAATATTTTTTTGGTAAACAAATGGAAAGCTGTTAAACAGGGACGCTCACCCCTAGCTCCCGGGTCACCCTTCTCTATGAGGAGGTGTCACAGAGGTAGCACTGTCCAGTGGGGACAGCGTCCCCCGGGCTACCCACCTCTGTACCACACCGCATCGTTCTTCCCGGGACAAGTGTCTACAGAGGTTGGAGTGGCTGCCCCTGCCCAAGCCCACTTTGGATTCCCTGCAAACAAACCCCTTGGGGAGTCTGGGGTAGTAGGGGCTGGGCCCAGCCTGGGTAACCCCTTAGGGCCTGAGGATGGACTGGGCCCAAAATGTTAGCATGGGAAGGGCCCTTCTACCCTCTTCCTGTCCCCCTTCACAGGTGAGGGACCACGGCCTAGAGGGGAGACTTCTTTCCCAGGGTCACATAGCTCATCAATTGCAAGTGAGGTTGGGACCTCAGATGCCAGACTTCTGACCCTGTTCTCTTTCTTCAGGAATAGTAAGCCAGGCCAGGGGGCAAGAAAAGGAAAGAATAGATTCTAAGTTCAGTACTTTGTAGAGAGCCCACTAACTATACGCTCATAGTAAATCGTAAGTGGGCCAAGTCCCTAAGCACTGACCCCACTCTCAACCTCCCCTGGGAGAGGGTTCTTCTGAGGATGAGTCCTTTATCCTGGCCCTGGCCTGACCCAGTGGCCTGGCCGCTGCAGGGATGGAAGCTCTGGCCCACCAGTGGCACCTGCCTCTGACTGGCTGCTGTGGAGGCTGGAGCTTCGTTACTGAGGACACCTCCCCTTGGTACTCATAGACCACACTTGCCCAAACCTCGTTCCTCCAGTGGTTCCATCACCTCTTGTCCAATGCAGTGGCCCCCAAGCATGCACAACTGCCTCGGTCTGGTTTTCTCAGACTGGATCATGCTCATGTTTTTATGTGTGAGCTCAGAGAAAGATAATTGAGGCCCTCAACTGAAAACAGGATTGATGCATTGCCTTCTCCTTATACATGGAGCAAGAAGGCCACTGTAAAAATAGTAATAACAGCTACCTCTCATGGAGCCCCCACTGGACCTTTTTAACATCTAATTTAGTATTCATAATAGTCCTGAGTGGTAGGGATTATTTGCCTACCAGATGAAGATACTAGGGCCAGAGAAGTCCAAGGTCATACAACCAATGAGTAAGTAGTAGTGTTGGGATTCACCCCACCTCTGTCTGGCTTGAATCCTACAGCTCTTCCCACCAGGCCACCTCCAGGTGCAAGACAAAGAGAGTCTGGCCAGGAAGGTGGCAGGAACATGTAGCAGAAGAGACAAATAGGGCTCCAACAGATTAAACATCAGGGTTAAAGGAAAGGGACAAATAGAACATATCACTAAACTTTTGAGTCTTTTATTAATCAGGAATATTTTATTTTTGAATCCAGAAGCCCAATTCAACATAGCTTAAGTAGAAGAGAGGTTGTCTTCCGCTATGTACTTGGGAAGCTTGGAGATGCTGCCAGCTTAAGGAACAGCTGGGTCGGGGGCTCCGTCTTTCTCTTTCTCCACCTCTTGACTCTGCTTGACTTCATTCTTCAGACAGGATTTCTCCACTTGATGGGATCAGTGGTTGCCGACAGCCCCAGACTCACACCCTCTTAGCAGAAACGAGCCATTTTCTTTAATAACTTTGGTAAGAAAATTCCAGGAAGAACTCCAATTGGCTGGCTTAGGTCATGTGCTCATCTCCGAACCAATCACTGTGGCCAGGGGGATGGAGGGCTCTGGGCCCTGGGACGTGTGCCACATGGAACGTGCTCGCTAGAAGGAAAAGGAGCTTTGGTATCTGATGAAGGGGAGAAGGTTCTGGAAAGACAGAAACAACAGATATTCTCTAGGCGTGGGGACTGGGAGAATATTGGCACCATTGCGGATCAGAGGGAAAAATTAGGAGGAACAGTTACTTAGGAATAATAATGCTAATATAACAACAGCGATAAGCAAATCTATTACTTTACAGCTTACAAAGCCCTTTCGCATGCCTTATTTAATCCTCATCTAATCCTGGAGGTGGGCAGAAGAGGTGTTGTTACTGATCTCATTTTACAGACGAGGAGACAGATTTGGGGAGGATAAAAGATGTGCTCACGGCTGGCAGGTAGCAGGTCTGGGACTTAGATGCTGGACTCAGGCTCGTGTTCTCTGAGTCCGGGGACAGGAGAGAAGACTAGCTGAGCGTGAAGTGCCTGGTGTCCTGAAGCAGATGCTACTCTCAAGGCGACAGGCACAGCTGAGCATGTCACTTTGGGGGCATTTAGCTTAATGGGGAACCCTGGTAGGCTTTCAGTGCCACGCGGACAGGCACCTTATCTGTCTAGTTCACTGCTCTATCTCAGTGCCAAGCAAGGGTGGGCAGTGGGGACCAGAGCAGGAGGCCAAGGACTGAGACTTGGGGGGTGAGTGTGGAGAGAGAAAAGGGGGAGGGGCCCAGAATGCAGCATGGTTGGCCCAAGCTCCCGAGAACCTCCGCCAACTGCACAGCAAGCCTTGGCATCTGCTGGGCAGACCAAGCTGGCCGGATATTAATAGAATCCGTAGACTGAAAACCTCTAGTCACTGCAGCTGGACTGGGTTGGTGCTTTGTGGATCCTGTCTTTGCTGTACCTGATTCTGCTTCTCTGGGGTAGATGCACTATTTGCATTTTAACTAAATTCAAGTCAGTCAAACTCCATTTATGAAATGCCAACTATATGGCAGGCATTGTCCTCTGCACCAGGGATACGGAGGTAACTGCGACACAATTTCTGGCATTTTAAGAGCAACTCCTTCACTAAGTCCCCATTATTTCCCAGGTACGTGCCATGTTATGCACTGGGTGTATGAGATTGGGTGAAATTCTTATTCTAGATTGTGTGGGGTGACCCAGACGTATGCCCAATGGATCATAATACAATGTCATAGTGATTTGATCTGCATATAAAAAGTGCTTTGGGATTATAGAGATGGATGTGACAACTTTTTGTTGGGAGATGCAGGGCGTTCTTGACAAGGAGATGTTATCTGAGCTAGGCCAGCAGAGCAAAGGAAAAAGGTAAGTGTGTGCACAACGTGCTTAGAGGGTGAACGGGAAGCTATCTGGGAAGACCTGCACACAGGAGGAGGTAGTGGGAAATGGAGGCTGGGAAGGACAAGAAACTTGGAGACCAGTCAGGAAGTTTTCACTTAATCATTCGATGCCCTGGTCTCTGGGCAGGGAAAGCCTTGTCTGGTGTAGGTGTCTGTGTATTGCCGTCCTATCCTCTATTGACTTCATGCTTTGCTCTCTGGTCAGCTTGTTCCATTCATGTTTGGCCTTGTTGCCTTTTAAATTGTAAGTGCACCTAGTGGGCGAGGCTAGTTTCCATGCATGTTTTTTTATCCTGAGCCCAGTGCAGTGTGGATCATAACCAGGTCCCCTGGCTCTGCTGAGGTCTGGGTGTGTCAAAGGGAGAAACTGGCCGTGAGCACTACCAAGGGACTAGGGAGCAAATGCTGGGACAACCAGAGGCTGCTGAACCCGAGCCTCCTTGGGCTTCCCAATTCTGCCACCTGTGGGGCTGCCGTGACTATGTGCTGGGGTGTGCCGGTTGTCCACCGATAGCCATCCCCCATCACGTGATAATAGAACTGCTCAGCTTGAGCTAGGCACAAGGCCACCCAGCCTTCCTTGCTGCTGGGTCTGTCCATATGACTGTGTTCCAGCCACTGGGTGATTAGAAGTAACACACATTTGAGTGTGGTCCCATAAAAGGAACATATGGCTTCTCCCCACCTATTCCCCTTCTCACAGCAGCAGATGAGGACCGCTGGAGAAGCCACCTTGGACCCAGCAATGGAAGCCCTGCATTGAGGATGACACAGTCACGCTCATGGCCTGGACCATGTACCTGTGGGCTGGTGTATTTTAAGCCTCTTTATTATGGCAGCTTAGTCTGTCCTGAAATCTGGTTAGTAGAATGAACCTTGGACGACCAGTTCTTGTCCTGCAATCTCACACAAGTCAGATCTTTCCAGGCCTCAGTTTCCACATCTGTCAGATGGGAATACTGACAACTCTTTTCCTAGCTCCCCGGGAAGCATGTAAGAGCTGCAGATGTGACTCGGACTTGCAAAGCGGAGAGAGCAGGCAAAGGTGTGTGGGGAGCACTTTCAGGGGAGTGAGTGATAATCTCCCATCACGATTCATCACTCAGCCGTCTCCTCTGCAGGAGGTTTTGAGGGGTGCAGTTGAACTGCAGGTCCAGCTAACCAGAGCCAAGGTGCCCCCGCTGTCATTCTCCGTCTGCGCAGACACAATTCTCCCTGGCCCTTCAAGTGCTCAGAAAACACAAAGTTTGTCTTGGCTGTAAAGGGCCAGGCCTCAGGAAGTGATCCGGGTTGAAAAGCTTTTACTCCATTGTAAGTAATGGAACGTGCTGAACCCCGTTGAACCTCATTAAAATGCCATGGTGGGTTGAGTGTTTATGTTTCATGTTCATAATGTTTGAATGTTTAAATTCATATGAAAAACATAAGCTCTGAGACGCGTAACTGGCAGGGTCTGGGCCACTATTTTAGGACGAAGGGCACTCAATGGTGACAGTGGTGTTGACAGACCACATTGGCTCTGAAGTACCTGGGGGGCCCCATCTCAGGTGGGACCCTCAGTGGCCTGGGGACGCTTCCCGCTCAGCTAAGGCATGGTTGACATGATTCAGCCTTTCTCATGTAGCCTAGGGCCGTGCCCAACGCACACCTGGTTGGTTTGTGACACAGGAAGGACAGAGCCAGTGTGATTTGGGAGAGGCGGGTGAAAAGCAGAGTTTTGTGGTGTCTTGGGGAAATTGAATGAAGAAGGAAAAGAAGGAAGGATGTACAGGGAAGAAATAAGACAATGTATGTGAAGAATTAGAAACAAATTCCTTAAATATCTGGTCTTGAACTAGAGATTTTTTTTTTTTTCTGAGACAGGTTCTTGCTCTGTCGCCCAGGTTGAAGTGCTGTGGTGTCATCAGAGCTCACTGCAGCCTCAAACCCCTGGGCTCAAGTGATCCTCCTGCCTCAGCCTCCCAAGTAGCTGGACCACAGGTATGTGACACCATGCCTAGCTAATTTTTAAAATTTTTTATAGAGATGGGGCTTGCTGTCATCCAGGATGGTCTCAAACTCCTGGCCTCAAGCAATCCTCCCATCTAGGCCTTCCAAAGTGCTAGAATTAAATATGTGAGCCACCACAGTGCAGCCCAGCTTAAATGTCTCACAATAGGTGAATAGTAAAACAGATTATGACCCAATTACTCATTCCATTCATTAAAACAAATGCATTGTCCACTGCACACCAAGCTTCTGTGTTTCTAGCTTCTGGACAAAATCCTGGACCTCAGATTATGTAGCTCTTTAAAGTGATGGTCACAAAACCTACATGACAACATGGAAAATGCTTGTGATATAAATTTAGCAAAAGATGCAAGGGGCAAAATTTGTGTGCAATGTGAGACTAGATTAAAAAAATAGATGCAGAAGAGAATGAAGTGAGAAAATATAGCAAGGAAATAGTGATTGCGTTAGGGGAATGGGGTTATGGGAAGCTTTTCTTTATCTTCCAAACTTTCAGTACTGTGGTTATATTCCATTTGTAAATAAAAACCAAAGTTTTTTGTTTTTTTTTAAATGTCTGACCAACTGACCCTACCACATTAACCACCCCGTCCGGTGGTCTTTGGTGAGAACTTTACAGTGGAGAAGCCCTGACCTCCTGTGCCACCCTGACTGAGGGCATTCTCCAGGTGGCAGGATGGCAGGGCCCTGCTGCTGAGTCTTGATCACAGATATGAGAGTTTGGGACTAGCCTGAGTATTCAAAAGGGCACCCCTATTCTTGACGATGGCAAATTCGGCAGCTCTCCCGAGAGAGGCCCCCAATGCAACCCTGTGCGGGGGCTGGTATTTCCCTTGACTCTCAGAGCCTGGGTGCCCATATCTGTCTGGGGCATGAGATGGAGGACTTGGCCAGCTTCCCACCTTGGGAATGGAAGGGCCAGGTGCCACTGCGAAGCCAAAGCTAGGGCACTCACAGCTGTGCCTGCCTGTGTGGAGTAAGCCACAGTCCGTCTGCCCACTCCAATTAGGCCTATCCGTGAGTGTCTGATTAGCCTGCCTGGGGTGTGACTCATGGCTTTGGAATGAGACATCTCTGAATTTTTAAAAACTTTACAAATACTTCATCAAAGAACTACATGCCCATGGTTAGAAAAATAAATGGCACAGAAGGACTTGGACTCACAGTTAAAAATAGATCTCCATTCCCCCTCCTTCCTTGGATTCAGTCTTGCCTCCTGGAGGCAGTAGCTTTTAACTGTCTCGGTGTCCACTTCTGCTAGTTTGCCTTCTTATCTCTAAGCAACATGCTAATGCTGCTGTGTTCTGCTGGACCAGCTGGGGATGTTATCTATTGTCTCCCTGCTCTGATAAAGCAGTGTCTTAGTCTGTTTTCTGCTGCTATAACAGAATACCATAGACTGGGTAATTTATATAGAAGAAGTTTATTTGGCTCTTGGTTTTAGAGGCTGGGAAGTCCAAGACTGAGCGGCTGCACCTGGTGAGGGCTTTGTGCTGCATCACCACATGGTGAAAGGCATCGCATGGCAATAGAGGGAGAGACAGAGAGAGAAGAAATCAGGCTGAACCCATTCTTTTTATTAAGAACCCGCTCCCACACAATGGCATTAATCCATTCATGAGAGCAGAGCCCTCATGACCTAATCACCTCTTAAAGGTCCTGCCTCTCAACACTGTTACATGACAATTAAATTTCAACATGAGTTTTGGAGGGGACATTCAAACCATAGCAAGCAGGATTTAGCTCTTCTGTATACTTTGGTAGACAGAGATGTGCTACCCAGACCCCCATTCAAAAACAGACTTGCTTCCCAGCTGCAGGGAGTGTGGTCAGCAGATGGCCACCAGCTGCCAGCTCCTTCAGACACTGCCTCAGCTGCACAGAGCCACCTTTGCTCAAGGTCATGCCCTTCCTGGGGCAGCCTGCATCCAGTGACTGAACAAGGTGAGGGTATAAAGGCTGGAGTATTTTGGTCCACCCTGGGACACTTTAGGGATCAACAGTCACGCCAGTGCTCTGGGCTGGGTTGGTGGAGGCTTTGTTGGGTCTGCATCACAGCTTGACTTCTCTCTCCACGCAATCTGCTTCCTTCCCCTTCTCTTCACAGGCACCGAGCCTAACAAACATCAGGTGCCCTAAACTGTCTCAGTATCTGCTTCTAGGGAATGACCTGCAACAATCGCCTTTGTCCCTCTCCTTATTTTTCAGAGTTTATTAATTTGTGTTGTGTCAAATTCTTAATAACTAAACAGGGGACTATATTTCCCCCAATTCCCTCCTCCTTCTGGTTCCAAGTTAGGGTTAGCTATGAGGGAAGTTTGTACAAATTTGAAAGGTGCAAGTGAAGCAACAGCCATTGCTACGGTCTGAGGTCAGTGCAGCGCCAGGAGCTGCTGCAGCAGGCATGAGTGTCACTGCAGCTCACCTTGCTGGCAGGCCACCCATGGCTGCAGCAGCTCTTCTATGTCCTGGGCCAGATGCTTGTGCAGCTCCATCATGAGGGTACCTAGTTATCTAGAAAGCACCCACATCCTGGAGCCTGGAGAAAGAGAAGACAGGTGCAGATTGCAGTTTGTCTTTGTGAGTTCCAGGTTGTCCTTTCTCTTCCCCACTCCTAACTTCTCAACTGCCAGTTCTGCTGACCTCAGCCCCAACCCCAGACACAGAGGCAATAGCCTTACATAGACTGTTGACCCAGGTCCTACAACTGTGTAAA